AACAAAACTCACCGGTTTATCCAGTTTTCTCACATCTGTTTTCCCAGTGCTTTTTCTAAACCAACAACACTGCGACTGCATGTGGCCTACTTTATTACAGTGGAAACACCTAAGCTTTTTTACATCTTCGCACATTATGGGTTTCCTTTTTGCCTTGCGGTAAACTGTCTTTACTATCTTCAATGAGTTCTCCTTTTCCCTTACCACCTAAGGATTTCTCCTTTGCCCAGTTTTTATCCCTGACAGATTGAAATTGATGTTGGAAGCCAAATTTTGATTTACAGACCATAATCATCCATCATTTCTGCTACTAATTCTGTAGTCTTAACTCCCTGCTCTTTGACAAGTTCTCACTACTTCAGGAAATGAATTTTGAACTCTTCCAAAATAATTTCTCTAGGAGCGTCAATTGTTTAATCTATATTCAATGTCCATATCCATCTGTCAAAATTTCATTGTTTGATCTTTCAAACTCAATGTACATTTGGTTATGTTCCCTCCTTAGATTCCTAAAACATTGTCTGTAGGTTTCTGATAATAGCTCATATGTACTTAAAATAGGATTTTTCACTTCATTATTCTCGCCAGATACCTCTACCTACTAACTTTGTTTGGATCTACAATGGTCACTGGCCATTTTTTGTTTAGCCACTTTCTCAGATGAAATGAAAAAGGCTTCTACTTTCTTCTCGAACTTAGGTAATACTTGGACACATTTAAACAGATCCCCCCACAGGCCTTTGGCTATGATGGGGTTGCTCTCCATCACTATCCTCACCATTACTTCTACTTTTCACCTCTGTCTCCACCATTTTTAATCATCTTTGAGTTTTCGGTTCCAATCTCAAGTTCAAAAACTCTTTCTCCCTTTCTTCTGCTTTTAATCCCAATTCAAACTGCTTCATTACTTTTCCTGTTCAAGCGGTTTCATTTTCAATTAAATATTAACCATTTCCAAAGATTCTGATGCCATTCCTGGCAATTGTAAATGCTGAGTGATTGCCACAAATTATCTCCCTTTCCTTATAGGTATAGGCAACCACAAATTCAGTTTGTTTGCCAATTGTGAAAACTTTGCCTTGCTCACTTTCTCTAAAACTCTCAGTGATTTCTTCCATCGCCAGGAAACTCTGAAAGAGCCATTATTACACAAATCACATCCTGTTTAAAACAACCAAATTCAACACCCGAAATTTAAAAAAAAAATCCACACTCACCACCCACTGCCAACTGCCTAAAGCCAACCTGGATTTAAAGATTTTGATCCAGACAAAAGCCCTTTGTTTTTATAAGCCAGATCAAACCCCCTTAAGAATATATTAAGAGGACAGCCTAGACCCTAACTTTTCTTATTTTAAAGGCAAGTGCCAAGCATTGCGTTTTGGATATAATTTGATTCCTCAAACCTACTAGATTTGAAGCAAAACTCACTTTATTCATACACTAAATACAGCCAAAGCTTTTATAGTATATAAAAGGGAAGAGTCACTAAGGTGAATGTTGATCCCTTAGAAGTTGAAACTGGAGAGTTAATAGTGGGGAACACTGAAATGGCGGAGATGGTAAATCAGAACTTTGCCTCAGTTTTAATGGTGGAGGACAATAGTACCATTCAAATTGGAATGGGCAAGTCAGAGGTAGCAGAAAGGGTAGAACTTAGAAAAAACATAATCAATAGGGAGAAGTTACTCAGCAAACTATTAGGATTGACGGCCTACATCCTAGGATATTAAAGGAAGTAGCAGCGGAGATAGTGGATCCATTGGTTACAATATTCCAAAATTCCCTGGACAAGGGAAAGGTTCCAGTGGATTGGAAAAATGCTAAAGGTAATGCCCTTATTCAAAAAGGGAGGGAGGCAGTATGTGATAAATTACAGACGTGTTAGTTTAACATCTGTTGTTGGCAAAGTGTTAGAATCAACTATCAAGGAAGCGATATCGGGACATTTGGAAAGTCAAAACACTATCCATCAGAGTCAGCATGGTTTTATTAAGGGCAAATCATGTTTGACTAATCTGCTAGAGTCCTTCAAAGATTAAAAAGCAAAGTGGATAATGGGGATCCTGTAGATGTAATATATCTGGACTTCTGGAAGACATTTGATAAGGTGCCGCACAAAAGGTTAATTCACCAGGTTGAATCATATAGGATTAGGGGTAATTTACTAGTTGGGCAGGTGACTGGCTGATGGACAGAAGGCAGGAGTCAGGATAAATAGGTTTTTTCTGGATGTCAAGAAGTAACTAATGAGGTGCCATAGGGTTCAGTCCTTGGACCCCAGCTATTTACAATCTACATTAATGACTTGGACACAGGGATAGAAGGCTGTATATCCAAATTTGCAGATGACAAAAAGTAGGTGGGACAGTAAATTGCAATGAGGAAATAAGAACCTTACAAATGGATATAGATAGGTTAGGAGTGGGCCAAAGTGTGACAGTTGGAGTTTAACATGGATAAGTGTGAGGTCATGCATTTTGGTCAGAAAAATGGGAAGACGACCTATTATCTAAATGGGGCAAAACTTTGGGGTGCTCCAGTGCAGAGGGATCTGGGTGTCCTCATTCATGAGTCACAGAAAACTTGCATGCAGGTACAGCAGATAAAGAAAGCTAATGGAATGTTGGCTTTTCTAGCTAAAAGGAATAGAATATAAAGGTAAGGAAGTATTGTTGCAACTATACAAGACATTGGTGAGACTGCACCTGGAGTATTGTGCACAGTTTTGGACCCCTTATAGGAAGAAGGATATGGTGGCATCGGAGGCAGTTCAGAGGAGGTTCACTAGACTGATCCCAGAAATGAGGGATTTGTCATATGAAGAGAGATTGAACCGTTTAGGCCTATACTCTCTTCTAAATTCTAGAATTAGGGAGATCAAATTGAGGTATTCAAGATAAAAGGTATAGATAAAATAGACGAGTAGCAGATGCTTCCTCTTGCGGAGCATTCTAGGATGAGGAGTCATAGTCTTAGGATAAAGGGTAGCAAATTTAAACCAGAGTTGAGGAGAAACTACTTCTCCCAAAGTGTTGTGAATCTGTGGAATTCACTACCCCAAAGTGCTTTGGATGTTGGGACAGTGAGTAAATTTAAAAGGGAGTTAGATAGATTTTTAATTGGGAATGGGTTGAAAGGTCATGGGCAGAGGGCAGGAAAATGTGGGTGAGGAGCATATCAGCCATGATCGAATGGTGGAGCAGACTTCAATGGGCTGAATGTCTTAATTCTTCCCCTATATCTTATGAACTTATAAAACAAAGAAGAAATTGGAATAACTTATCTCTATTTGAAAATTCAAAAGAACAGAATATTTAACTATTAAACAGTAACTGTTCCAATATAGTAATGTCCCGTAAATACACCCTTGGCAAAAGGCAAATTCAGTAGAACAGATTGTCTCACATAGCAGCAGGAAGAGAACCCCCAGTTTTCAGCTGTAACAGAGGAGAAACAGATTCCATATCCAGCTTCAAGACCCCAGAAGAGCAAGTGAAAACTTAAAACTAAAAATCTTGGTTCTGTGGGAGCTTGACCCCACCCATTCAGCCTGCTTCTATTGTTCTAACATTTTTTTTAAAAAACAAGGCCTCACAAGCTGTTTACTTCATGACAGCTCATCACCTCTGACTTAAAATCTCTCTTCAAAAAGAAACCCAGGACAATAAAAACACCTCTTAAAGCCATAGTGTCACCACAAAACCTTGCTTTCAGAGACACAAATCTTCTCTTATCCCCAAGGGTCTCTCATTCAGGATGAAATATTCACACAATGTAGAGAACATGGAATGAACTTGGATGGCCTTTGAGTTATACTGGCTCTCTGAACCTTATTGTGGTTAGACCAAATTTTCATTGGAAGTGCTCCCTGAATTCATTGGGAGGAAAGTATTATCTACTCAAACCTCTTGCACCTTGCCTGAATTGTTTTTAGTACAAAGTGCGAGCTGGTGACTAATTTGTAAAAGTGGGAGCCACAGTAGTTTCAAAAGGAGCTCTCCCAGAACTTAAAGACAAGGTGATTGTAGGCTGATTGCCCAGAGTGACTCTGAAGAGTTGATGACTTAAATAGAAAAGGAAAATGATGAGACAAGTGAGTAAAATAAAAAAAAGGAGAAACAGAGTGAAAGAAGAGAGAAACAAAGCTAGAAAGAGAGGGAGGGAGTAAGAGAAACAGGAAATAAAGGAGAGAAATGCAAAAAAAAGGGAGTGAGAATGGGAAAAAAAGGTCACAAAACAAGGAAAATAGAGGAAGATGAAGTAGAAGAAAATGAGAAGCAGAAAAATTACATAGCGTGGCAGTCTGTGAATGTTGAGGGGACAGAGAGGAGCATTACAGTCTGACACTGAGTGAAGCTGTCTCAATGTCGGTTTGTTTCCAGCCAGGATTCTTTTCTCGCTTAAAAGCAAAAAACGCTGGAAACACTCAGTATCTGGAAGAGAGGGAAACAGAGTTAACATCTGAGGTCTATATTCGCTGTTTAGAATCTCTTGTCCTCCATCCTGTCAGAGCTTCCATTTTGTTTTTTTTTGCCTCCACCCCCTCCCTTAACTTACTCAAAATCAATTACATTTCCAACTTTTCTCAATTTGCCCACGGATGGTACCCGACCTCCTGAGTTTTTCCAGCATTTTCGGTTTTTCGGTTAGAAGTTCTAGGATTTACAGTGTGTGGCCGATCTGAGGGAAGATGAAATAGTCCTTCACTGAATCACCTCAGACATTGGTATATGATTTGTACTTGGGATTAGTTATGCACTGCATCAGTAAACCACCACAGGAAGCCTTTCATCTCTTTTTTAGCACTGGTAAGTTTCAAAACATCTCTCCTGCTGTGAAATACTTAAATTTCACATAGCTTTAGAAGTCACGACATTGACAATGTCTGAAAGAAGCACTGATATTGAAATGCCTTAACCTGCTGGGCAGAAGACATTCGCTGAACACAATGTAAGTAAGGCAAACTCTCCTCACTTTGACTTTCCCTTGTCTTTCAGAGGAAACACCAGATACACTACAAACTGGCAGTGATCATCAATTATCTGGGACACTGCCTTTCCTTAGCTGCCCTCATCATTGCCTTCATGCTATTCATGCGTCTGAGGTAAGCAAATTAATAGAATCATAGAACACTTACAGCACAGAAGGAGGCCATTTGGCCAGTTGTGTTCATGACAATTCTCTACAACAGCAAGTTAGTTATTGCACTTTATTCCACACACTAACAATTGTATTAGGTGCTTATCTAAATTTCTTAAGTTGAAGTTGGCATTGGTTTGCCTCCACCACACTCACAGGTAGTGCATCCCAGATCCCAACCACTTGCTGCATGAAAAACATTTTCATTATTGGTTCTTTTGTAATTCAGCTTAAATTGATGCCCTTTGGTTTTCTACCCTCTATCAATGGAAGAGTTTCTCTCACTTACTCCATCTAGATTTCTTGTGATTTTGAGCAGCTCTAACAAGTCTTCTCAAATTCTTCTTGAAAGAGAACTGCACCAGCTCATCATAGAAGCCAGGAATGTTTTTTTTTAAAAAAAATACATAATGAGCCCAATGAGAGGAGATGCAATTCTGGATTTGGTTTCGGGAAATAAGGATGGGCAAGTAGGTGAAATGACAGTGGGTGCCCATATCAGGCATAGTGACCACAGTTTGGTTAGGTTGAATATTATTATGGTAAAGGACAAAGATAAATCAGGAGCAAAAGTTTTAAACTGGAAGGAAGGCAAATTTTACAAAACTGAAAAGTGATTTGGCTGAGGTAAACTGTACAGGACTGCTAAAGGATAAATCAGTGTTAAACCAGTGAATGGCACTATAAAGTGAGATTCTTAGGGCACTAAGCAGATATGTTCTCTTCAAATCTAGACCCCCATGATGTCCAGAAAAACAAATATTAAACAGAAAAAGAAAGCACATGATAGTCACAAAATAAAACCTCAATGCTGCAGATAGCCTACAGGAGTATAGAAAGTACAGGGATTGAGTTTAAAAAAAAAAAAGAAATAAGGAAGTCAAAGAGAGGGCATTAGATTACTTTATTAGCAAATAGGAGAAAGAAAAATCCAAAGGTGTTTTACTAGTATATAAAGAGCAAAAGGATAGTTAAGGAAAAAGTGGGACCTATCACAGATGAAGAAGGGAACTTGTGTGAAGATACAAAGGAAATGGGAAGAATTTTAGATCAATGCTTTGTCTACATATAAAGGAATGGGATGATGTGGATATAGTAAAGGAGCAGTGTGAAATTTTGTACAAAATAATTATAATGAGAGAGGAAGTGTTAGAGGAGTTGGAATCTTTGAAAGCAGATAAGTAGCAGAGCCAGATGGATTGTTCCCTAGTATGTTGAAGGTGGTCAGGAAGGAAACATTAGATGCTCTGAGGATTATTTTGCAATCTTCACTAGACATAGGTGAGGTACTGGAGGAATATAAATGCGGTTCTGCTGTTTAGAAAGTGTACAAAGGAAATTCCAATCAATTGTAGGCCAGTGACAAAAATAGAAATTGCTGAAAAAGCTCAGCAGGTCTGGTAGCGTCTATGCAGAGAAATCAGAGTTAACATTTTGGGTTGAGTGACCCTTAGAACCTCTAAGCCAGTGATTCTTATGTGGTGATGGGAAATTGTTAGTTTATCCAATCACTCAGGAATGATTCTATCATTTAGGAAGATATAGACAAGTCAGGGATAGTCAGCATGGCTTTGTTTAGAGACGTTCATGCCTTATAAATCTGATTGAATTCTTTGAGGAAATGACAAGGAGGATTGATGAGGGTAATGCGGTGGATGTTGTCTATATGGATTTTAGTAAGGCAAGGTCCCACATGGCAGACTGGTCAAAAATGTAAAAGCTCTTGGGATACAGGGTAAAGGGTTGAATTGGATCCAACATTGGCTTATTAACAGGAAACAAAAGGTAATGGTCCATAGCAGCCCTTGCAGATGGAAAGCTGTTTCAAGCTCACTAACTTGATTGAATCTTTTGAAGAAGTAACAAAGAGGATTGATGAGGGCAAAGCAGTGGACGTGATCTGTATGGACTTCAGTAAGGTGTTTGACAAGGTTCCTCGTGGTAGACTGTTTAGCAAGATTAGATCACACAGAAGAGGGAGAACTAGCTATTTGGATATAGAACTGACTTGAAGATAGAAGTGGTGGACGGTTGCTTTTCAGACTGGAGCCACAAGGATCGATGCTGGGTCTACTGCTTTTTGTCATTTATGTAAATTATTTGGATGTGAACATAGAAGATATGCTTAGTAAGTTTGCAAATTGGAGGTGTAGTGGACAGCGAAGAAGGTTACCTCAGAGTACAACAGGGTCTTGATCAGATGGGCCAATGGGCCGAAGGAGTGGCAGATGGAATTTAATTTAGATAAATGGGAGGTGCTACATTTTGGAAAGGCAAAGCAGGGCAGAACTTATACACTTAATAGTAAGATCCTGGGGAGTGTTGCTGAACAAAGAGACCTTGGAGTGCAGATTCATAGTTCCTTGAAAGTGGAGTTGCAGCTAGATAAGGTAGGGAAGGCGGCATTTTGTATGCTTGCCTTTATTGGTCAGTGCATTGAGTATAGGAGTTGGGAGGTCATGTTCGGCTGTACAGGATATCGGTTAGGCCACTTTTGGAATACTGTGTGCAATTCTGGTCTCCCTGCTATAGTAGAGATGTTGTGAAACTTGAAAGGGTTCTGTAAAGATTTACAAGGATGTTGCCAGTGTTGGAGGGTGTGAGCTATAGGGAGAGGCTGAATAGGCTGGGGCTATTTTCCCTGGAGCATTGGAGACTGAGGATGACCCTATAGATGTTTATAAAATCATGCGGGACATAGATAGGGTAAATAAATAAGGCCTTTTGTGGGGTTGGGGAGTCCAAAACTCAGGGATAGGTTTAAAATGAGAGGGGAAAGGTTTAAAAGGAACCTAAGGGGCAACTTTATCACGCAGATGATGGTGCATGCATGGAATGAGCTGCCAGAGAAAGTGGAGGAAGCTGGTACAATTACAACATTTAAAAGGTATCTGGATGGGCATATGAATAGGAATGGTTTAGAGGGATGTGGGCCAAGTGCTGGCAATGGAACTAGATTAATTTAGGATACCTGGTCAGCATAGATGAGTTGGACCGAAGGGTCTGCTTCTATGCTGTATGTCTCTATGACTGTTAAGTGCTGTTTTGCAGAACTGAGTGTTGGGATCCCTGCTGTTTGTTTTATACACTAACAAGTTGGATTTGAAAGTGTCAGGCACAGTTGGGAAATTTGCAGACAGCACAAAAATTAGCTGCGTAGCAGGTAGTATAGAGGATAGCGTAAAACCTCCAAAATGATAGGTTGGTGGAGTGAGCAGAAAGTGGCAGATGGAGTTCAAGTGAGGTGATAAGTGTGAGGTAATGCATTTTAGGAAAGTCAATAAATGGGAATGTACTGAGAAGGCAAGAAAAGTGGGAGATCTTGGCATGCAAGTGCACAGGTACCCAAAGGTAACTGTACAGGTAGATGAAGTTGTCAAAAAGGAATATGGAATGGTCTCCCTCATTTGCAGAAGAATAAAAAAATACAAAAGCATGGATATGATGAGACCCTAAACTCTTTCTTTTTGATTTTCACCTTAAGTGTTGTAAGCTGCAGGGCTATGAGCCATTTGGAGAAAGATGGGATTAGAAAGGGCATTTGGATGTTTTTGGATCAGCATGGACAAGATGGGCCAAATGGTACCCTTCTGTACTGTCTCATTTCTACAGTTTTATGGTTCTAATCATAGGATAGTTATTGTCAAGAGGGAGACAATTCCACCTGTAGTGTTTATGTAGGTTCTTTGACAGAAAAATTCATCTCGTGCCACTCCCCTGCCTACTTTGTGTAGCTCTCCATTACTAATCATTTTCTTACCTGCCATGTGTCCTTCTGCAATTTGTGCATGTTTACCCCCTTGGTCTCTGTTCATGGACTCCCTTTAGAATTGTCCCTTTTATTTTATTTTGCCTCTTCCCATTCTTCCTAATAAAATGTATCACTTCACACTTCTCTGCTTTGGGTTTTGTCTACCACATGTGCTGCCATTCCACCAATCTATGCTGTTTTGAGGTCTATTACTACTGTCTTGGAATTATGGAATCATACAGTACAGAAAAAGGCACATTGAGTCGGCACCAACAAAAGAACTATTCTAAATTTACACTAATTCTACTTTCCAGTAGAGAGCTAATCCAGACCCCTCAGAATAGATTCATAGATTCATACAGTGCAGAAAAGACCCTTCGGCTTATCTGGTCTGCACCAACATAACTACCACTTAAAGGTGCTCTAATCCCAATTTCCTACACTTGTCCCATATTCTTGGATGTTATGATATTTCAAGTGCTCATCCAATATTTTTAAAGGTTTCCAACCTCCACTACTTTCTCAGGCAGTGCATTCCAGATTCCCAACGCCCATTAATTGAAAAGGTTTTCTCCCCCCACAAATAGCCTCAAAATCTCCTGCCCCTTACCCTAAAACAATGCCCTCTCATGATTGACCTTTCAACCAAGGGGAGCAGCTGCTCTCTATTCATCCTGTGCATATCCCTCATAATCTATGACACCTCAATCATGTTCCTCCAGTCTTCTCTGCTCTAAAGTAAACAATCCAAGCCAATCCATTCTCTCCTTGTAGCTGAATTTCTCCATCCAGGTAGCATCCTGGCGAACCTCCTCTGTACCCCCTCTGGTGCTATCACATCCTTCCTATAGTGAGGTGACCAGAACTGCATACACTACGCTAGGTGTGGCCTAATCAATGCTCTGTACAAATCCAATATTACCTCCTTGCTCTTATACTCCCAGTCACGACTGATGAAAGCAAGTGTCCCATATGCCTTCTTAACTGTCCTGTTCACTTGCTCTGCCGACTTCAGGGATCTGTGAATAAGTACCCTTCTGCTCCTCTAAACTACCCAGTGTCCTGCCCATCATTAAATACTGCCGCATTCTTGTTTCTTCTTCCAAAGTGCATTACTTTGCACTTATCAGGGTTAAATACCATCTGCCACTGGCCTGCCCATCTGACCAACCCAGCTATATCTTTCTGTAACCTACAACCATCTTCTTTGCTGT